TCTCCCAGTGTGAGCTTAAAACGGATGTATCCTAGGATTTCTAACGCTGAGCCACCTGCACTGTTCAACTGAATTGCGCCAGGAGGCACAGGTTTCAGAGGTAAACGTTGCAGGACTGGATGCGATTTAATAAAAGATGCTGATATACACGTGTCCTCCACACTGGTCCCTTTTTGTCCTCGCTCTTTTTCGTTTCATATTCCATAGACCACTTGTTACGTTGTCTCTTTTTCGGTTGTCTCTTTTCTCGAAAAGCGACAACCGACCTTTCATTTTCCTTCTCTTTTTCTCTGTTTCCTTTTTTCTGTACCAAATGGTCTTGTCTCTGCTTGCGTCGTGAAGTACCAAGATTGAACCAAGGGGGTGTNCTCTTTTTCGTTTCATATTCCATAGACCACTTGTTACGTTGTCTCTTTTTCGGTTGTCTCTTTTCTCGAAAAGCGACAACCGACCTTTCATTTTCCTTCTCTTTTTCTCTGTTTCCTTTTTTCTGTACCAAATGGTCTTGTCTCTGCTTGCGTCGTGAAGTACCAAGATTGAACCAAGGGGGTGTACCTCGTTCTCTCCGGCCGGTGATGGTGACTCCTAGTCTCAGTTGTTACTTCGCATATAGCGCGTAGAGGGAGTGGAGGACTCCAGAATATCTGTCGTTGATTTCTTTTGACTTGCGGACCCCTCGGGGCTACATTATTGTTTGACTGTGCCTTTGTAGGGTAAGTTAGCCTGCGACCACGGGAATCAATCGACCCCGTCGAGTGTTGGATCAGTACGGACATACGAAGGTACTGGATAGAGAGAGATCGGAACGATTTTTAAAGTGAAGACAACAACAACAACAACAATATACCGGAAGGCGCCATAGGCACGAGGGACAAAAAGAGATGCGCAGGGACGAGGAAGGTGGAGGGAACAAATTGGAAGAATTTTACTGAAGAAATGGACACCAAAGAAGAAGTACCGACGCGTGAAGAATGATCGCTTGGGTGCCTGCCCAACGTACAAATCATGTTCCGAAAACAAACAACCGTTCGCGCCGAGCAAGTTGCCGCCATGTGCACGCAAGCTTCCTTGCTGCCCACCGACACAAACACCACACACATTTACTCTACTCTGGAACTGACTATCAAGAGGGTATTGTGTAGCACACGGTGAGCCCTTTCCGGAAACCCGTCGGACGGATCTAACATCTGTCTCGGCTGTAGGTATGTTTGTGTTGATTCAAACTTTGCTGGACCCCTTGTTTATGTTTCGTGTGTGTCGCGGCGCCTCGTGGGAATTGCGGTGTTTTCCATCCAGCAGTGGTATGTTCGCTCTGCCGCTTAATTTATCGTTCGTTCTCCCGGTTGGAACTCTCAACCATCGTGTTACAGCAGTCATTTAGCAGTGGGCAGCGGCGCGGCGATAGTCTGGTGATACGCGCCGGCACGCGCACGACCAACCAACTCATGTTGATGACCGCAAGTATTTTTTGCATTTCCAACTGCTGTGAAACTGCGAGCCCCTCTCAGCAAGCAAGCGTAGAGGTCTGCCCACCCGTCGAGGTGGTAAAAATGTCGGTGATGAAAGTGAAACATGTGTGTGAGCTGCTCAACACTCTCTCTTGATTCATTGTTGTTCGCGTGTCCTTGGTGCTACAGCAGTCGAAAGAGAGAGGAGAGGGCCCGAAAGGAACACTAAATATTGAGCTTCCGCAACGGCAACCCTGTGTGTTGGACCGCTGATTGCATGTTCAGTAAATCCCTGCCCGCATGCACAAAACTATGCACAGTGACAAGGTGATCAGACAAATGCTACGCGTACACGCCACTAAATAATCTGCCTCTCTTTCGACAGCAGAAGATGATCATGGGTAAGTCAGGCATCGCGCTGCTTGCGCTGGCCCCAGGGAACGTGATTGTCGGGGCGGCGAACCTGAGACAAAACGAGATCGTCGTTCAGTACGCAACCAGCGCATCCCCGCCAACTAGGAGTCATGCGAGCGTGAGTGCGACAAATGAGCGAGGACGTTTTGACTGCTGCTGCTGCTGCGTACTGTTGTACGTAGGGACAGCAGATACTGCTGTAGATCAAGACCTGTTGTACAGCGGTGCTTCCTCTGCTCTCGTGTGTCTACAGCAGTAGTCTAGCAGAATTAAAAGAACGGAACAACATCGCTACGACGTCATTATTACCCACAGCAGTGTAATGCATTCGTACTGCAGTACTTCCGCGTGCAAAGCTTACCTCACAGAACACATCATGTACACCGTAGTCTTTTTGTTGTGTGGTGCTCTATCAAGGAATGCGCCGTCGGTGTCGGTACGACCCAAAATGACACATGACACCCAACGATCACCACATCTTGTGGTCATATTTTGAATCTTGAACAGAGCCGAATTGTCGCCCGGATTCAATTACTACTGATAACACCCCCCTGAGATTGTCGCCGCGAACACATCTGGGTCTGTGCTACCGCTCGCACAAAGTGCCGCGATCATGACCATCAGTGAACAGGAACGTCACACAATACACCCCTCTGTATGCGGGGGGACCACGCCGGCCGTCTGTAGTCTAGACAACGACAGGAATGTGCCACAGGGAACAAGTCTAGCAACCTTTTCAGCGGTGCAAGCTCGGGTGGTGATGTCTCTGTTCTTTATTTCGAAAGGAGCAAGTACTTTTATTTACACGTGCCGGCGTGAGTCCTCTTGCTGCTGCGGCGGCGGTGGTTGGCACAGCAAAAGGCGCCAATATACGCAATATTTACGTTTTCCAGTAGTCTAATTCTGATATTTTTCCTCAAAGTCACCCCGCTTGTCCCTCGCCTTTCCCCTGACGCCTCCCCACCACTTCTCGTCCCTTTCCGTTACCCTTCATGTCGTCTCTCTACCAACAGCGTCACCTATACGACTCTGATACCTCTAAATACGAGTACATCGGGTGTTTCAGGGACAGCCAGGAGGACCGCGTCCTGGACATACTCATCTCGGAAAATGACATGACTACTGAGGTAAACAAACGCGGATCGATCGCTGGATGTGACGCTGAAACACAAGACTGAAAAATATGCCCAGTTTTCAGCCGCTTCCCCTCCACGCACTGAAAGACTTCGGCACATTCCTTTCGACCTGTGGTTATATATCTCGAACGGCTTGTCTATCTCTGTTTTTACATGTATATTGGTATCTTGTACTTCGTAAGAAACACGATGGTATAGTCTTCTGTATTCTTTTGCTCCAAAGAAGAAACGAATGTCTTGCTGGCCTGACGCTGATCTCTGCATGTACGCCTACCGTTGTTCAGAAATGCTACTACTATTGCATGGATTTGGATGCCGAGTACATGGCAACCCAGTGGGCAGTGGAGTGCTTCTGCTCCAAAAACAAGGACCTCAAGTATGACCGGCATGAGGAACATGAATCGGCCGCAGAGTGCAACATGATGTGCTCGGGTGGTGCTGAGGTAAATAACATCAACAAACTTGCAGCGAGACTTCTGGTGGTGGCGCGCGTAGTGTCCACCAGCGCCGCCTCGAGGTATATGTTGCAACCCCAACCTTTGGCACCGTATGAGGCTTGACGGTTTGACAAGAGACGGAACCCTGAGATGAGAGGCTACGTCATCCCGTTGCAGAGAGGAAACAAGCGTCGAAAGGCTCGGCGATGAGAGGAATGCCTCAATCAAGCTCACCACGTCAATGGCAACTCACTTGATATAAAGACTTCCAGCTGATGATGCTTCAGGTTAGGAAAGCTATCTGATTCCAACAACAAAACACACGACGCGTGCACGACCTGCAGGAAGAGACGGAAGAGACGTGCGGAGGAGATCACGCCTTCGACCTGTACAAGATTGGAGGTTCCACGGAGAACTCGCCCTCGCCCTCCCCCGACGACATGACAGGGCTCCTCGACTTGCACAACGAAGCAAGGTGAGACGTGTGAATGATGTCTACGTCTACAGTAGATTGGCTTCAGCTGCCCCGTCATTCTCAGTAGCAGGGCTTAATCATGGTGGTATAGGCTTATTTGCGCTGCGGAAAAGATGTCACACCACAAATCACACTTTAAAAACAAGCACGTCGACTTCGCTAGGATCCACCAAAAATCAACAACTCGATGTTGTTTACAGAACTCTTGCCTGAGTCCAGGTGTGTTCACGGTGCGGACCCTCTCGGATGGAGCGACCCGGTGACGTCTTCCGCCGCCGAACACGCGGCGAGGCTCACGGACCAATGCACCTCGAGCCTGTTCCACAGCACCACGGATCAGCGGTACGGCTACGGCGAGAACCTTTTCATGTGCTGGGGCACGGACACATGCTACAACCACGAGTATGCCATGGAAAAACTATGTAAGTTTTATCATCGGTTTTCTCGAACGTTGTTATGCGCTCGCTGGGAGTCAGTCCAGCACGTCGAGTTCATAATACGGCCTTGTTAGCACGACGATGTAGAAGCTTTACGGTTGAGCAGCAAGCGACAAGGAAGTAGGCGTGACGCCGCAGCCATTGTCGACCACAAGTGCTCCCTCCTTTCAGCCCACGTGGGACCTTCCAAGAATCCTTGCCACGTTTCTCCGTACCTCACGCACAGCGCCGATATATCGTGTCAACATCTAATCATGTTGACCCCTTCTTCCGCCCAACCTATGCCACAGACGTCGAGGAAGTCCAATTCGGCGCGGTTACCGACTACATCGGCCACGCGACCCAGATCCTGTGGAAGTCTACGAAGAAAGTCGGATGCGTCTTGGCGCAGTGCACCAACGGCGGAACCCCCTACACGTTCCTCGTGTGCCAGTATGACCCAGCGTGAGTTCCGAGCTCGGTGTCGGTTGCCTGACCCATGTCGGAGGAATATGCAATTTGTCTCGTGCGCATTGTTGTCGCGGTACACGGTATTGTCGTCGAACTGGCTGTGATGCTTTGCAGTGCAGGAGAACTGGCGATTGAATTGGAGAGCATGTCACTCCTGTGATGCTAGGCGATTAACTTACGTGGAAGGAATATACCGGCACTGCGATTTAGATGCCAACGGATCAAGTTTTTTTATTGGCAGTCGGCGTTGCCTGCTTGTTGTTCAAACTTGTGCTTGCGCGTGCGGAATGTCTATTTGACTATTTCTCCCCTTGCTTGTGTTTTGTGCGTCATCTCTCGTGTTGCATGTGTTCACCAGGGGCAACATGGGCGGCGACAAAGAGTACATAGAAGAAGTGGGGCTACCTAACCCTGAAAACTCGTGCTAAACGGGCAGACCATACCACGTGCTGTTGCTCTGCATGGGGGGATGAAACTGTTGCAACGATCATGAGTTTGATATTGGTACGTGCCTTGTACACGTAAAAGGCAAACTGTTTTGTTTTTTTCCGCTCAGATGCTGGGGTGAAACTGTTTCAACGATCATGAGGTTGATATTGGTACGTGCCTTGTACACGTAAGGCAGACTTTTTTTTTTTTTTCGCTCAGTCAAATGTATTACAGTCGTTGTTTAATCCCGAGGTGGTTAAAATTTTACCTGTTGCTCGTTGTCTGGTTGGTTCTACAATAGTCGAGATCTCGTAGTATTGAGTTCAGTCCCGATTCATTCGTGCTCTGCGGGCATAGGGCATATGGCATGCTCTTGAACAGGATCTCGGTTTTCGCAAAGGATGGTATCATAGAACCAGGCGTATCTGTACAGCAGCGGGAATGTACGGGCTACTCTATGCGGATGGTTCAACATGCTAACCCAGGAAAATACTGCCTCGTTGTTGCAAGGTGCTGTTGTCGTACGCAGAGGTCGGCGACAGAAGGACTCTCATATCTGATGTCGCCAAGAGCCTTGCCCACTTGTGTCTATTTCTCGAAAAATTGGAATGTCCCAGTTTTGATTTGCAATGGACTTTCGGCTGCTCAAAAGCTGAGAGCAGTGGCTGAGCAATTTCAAAATTCCTGGAATTTTGGATTCTTCTCTGTTCCCACGTCGAGTTTTTGTCTAATCAACTTTCTGAGTGGCTCTACCCTTGTCGCGCGTGTACCTAGGTTGTACCTCTTGTCTTGTGTTGTCGTAGTGGACTTCTCGGCGCCGGTATAGCGTCGTTTGTGTAGACCTCCTGCCTTCCGCTGCGTCCCATTTTCTCTTTTTCGTCCTTGTGTTCTCCGTCCGGTTGCTGCGCATTTAATTCATTTCGCCCGTTTCCTTCGCATCTGTTTCTGTATCCGTTCCCGTCGTGCCGCCTTTTCCCCTGCGCTCCGTACAGGTCGATGTGTGGCTGGCCGTCGGAAGCGCCTCGTGCTTGCCTACCGTCTCCTCCTCGCAACGCTGTGTAGAAGGCGGCGGGTTGTTTGCCAAACGACCACGGTTGTCTGGTTGCCTTCGTTCTTTCGTGTAGCGTTGCTTGCTGCGGTTTCGTCGGTTGGTTGAATTCTTGCTTCGGTGCCGTCGGTTAGGTGATTCCTCCATGAGTCGTTGTGGTTCTCTTCCATGGGTCGTTCTCGCATCGGATCCTCTTCCAAGATTCATATCGGAAGGAACTTGACGGCAGAGTGGTGCCTTCACTGCATTTGCAGTTGTGATGACTCTTCGGTGTGCATTTTCTTCCTGTTTTTTTTTTGTGTGATGGAGCAGCTGTTGTTGGGCGGATTCTTTGTGCGTCCATGGCGTCGTTGCGGAAGGTGCGAGTCCGACTTCCTGCTGTGTTGCTTCATTGAAAAAAAAAACGGCGTGCCAAGCGTGTGTAGGGTCGTCGCTTCACCACCTGCTTCGTGTTTGTCAGAGGTCTTCTGCGACAGCATCTCATCTTGAAAAGAGTACCTCGTCGGTCTTGTTTCCCCGCAAGGTTAAATAAATGTGTCTTGGCACGGTACAAGTTTTTCGACGAAAAGGGATGAAAACGGTTCATCCGCGCACAGGGCTCACGTGTCTCGCAATTGACCGCGGATGTGGCATTCCCAAAGCAAACGCGCCGCCATCGATCATCCCACCCTGGCGCACACCGCGGTTTTGTTTCAAGTGAGGACAAAAAAGAAACGGCCCGTCACAAAGAATTTNCCCCCCCCCCCCCCCCCTCCACCACGGAATTCCTGTGGGCAGTCCACCACCTGTCTTCCCCCCCCCCCCCCCCCCTCCCCCGTTTCTGCGCTTCGTAGCCTTTGGAGGTGTGGCAAACGGGACTGTGATCCACGTCATACAATTTTACCTCGCCGCAGATTAAATTACCATCCGCAGGTCGCTGTGGTTTGTACGTGCCGGTTGTTTACCGTATTCCTTCACGAACACATACGGGTAGGATTAGGGGGCTACAATGCCACGGCGGGACGGGTCCCCCGCCCGACCTTCACTTGCGCGTAAGAGCACCGAAGATGCCTGCACCCTTCCATCGGACTCCGGCGACGCGCCAATTGCGGCGGCAGCACGCATGGTCGACCCTGATGTACCTTCCCTTCGTCCACCACTTCCTGACCGTCGACGACGGTCTTCATCCTCGCCGAACGACCGGCGTCAGCCACCGAACGACCGGCGTCAGCCGTCTGCAGGATTACCGCGTTCCTTGCCGACGCTTCGGGGGCGCGGTGATTCGCGGGGGCGTGTCCGAGCTGCGGCGTCGCTTCGGGGGCGCGGTGATTCACGTAGTCGTGTCCGAGCTGCTGCACCGCGCGGGCGGCGTGATACGTGCTCGCGCGATCTTCGAGGTCGCGGTTCTTCACGTGCGGATGCACATGCGGCTGCGCGCCCTAATGTCAGCGCCAACACCAACGTAACAGTGACTTCGCTTCGTCCACAGTCTTCGCCACCGACGGAACGGATACGGGCGGTCAAGGGCGGGCGCCGTCCTTTCGCGGCGCCCCGTACGCCGCGTGCCACATCTTCGGAGGCACCGAGTGAAGCACAACGGCAGTCGTTTTTTGCTCCCCGCCCCTTCTCCGCATCGCAGGCAACTCCACGCCGCGGACAGTCTGCGCCGCCTAGGGGACCAGTTGCTGCGGCAAGAGCGGGAACGATAGGACGCACCCGCGAGAAGAGTGCTGTTTCAGGGTCGCCGGTCACTATGGGTGGACCTTTTTTTGCACCTGAAGCTCCCTCCACGTCAGGCGATGCTATGTCTCTTTTTGCCCTCGGATCCGGTTGTTCTCCTCGAACTCATGCGCCCAAGCAAAGCCGTGCCTCGGTTCGGGTAGAACGTACCGAGCGCTTACATCAGGCTGCAGCCGCACGTATTCGTGCTCAGCAAGAAGCTGCAGCTAATCACAGGTGGGTCATTGACGCCCTTGTTACAGCCCTGTTTCATTTGTAGGAGTGGTAGCCTTTCTTTCATGGTGCGTTATCCTCTAGGGTATGCGTTTTACGTTTTTGTCGTGCGTCGTCGTATTTCCGCCTTCGATTGCTCTGGGCTGCCGCTTCTTTCCGTCGTGTTTGTAATTTCATCCTCTCCTTCTCCACCTCCCTCACGTCAGCAACCTACAGCGGAGCATACTTGTGGTCCTTCGTTCATCTTGCTTCACGTTGTCGTATAACTCCGTAAACGTGCATCGACCCGGGCACGTGACTGACGTTCTGTGCAATATCTGCACCACTGGCTTCGTGTCCTACATCTATTTCACGTTCTTTATCATATCCTTCTTTATGACGATCTTGCGGGGTACATCTGCACCGTTGATTTCGAACTTCGGGCCGTTGCGGTTAGTTTCCTCCCAGGTCGGCGGCTTTGCAGAGAATATCTGCACCGTTGATTTCGAACTTCGGGCCGTTGCGGTTACTTTCCTCCCAGGTCGGCGGCTTTGCAGAGAAAGCGGGCCACGATGGAGGCTGCAAGGAAAGCGGCTCGCGAGGATCGGACCCCCCAAGGCATCGCCGACAGGTGAGCGTGCATGTTCTCACGTTCTCTGCATCGACGTTACCCAACGCTCCCTCCGCCCTACCGTCCCCTCGCCCTCTTTCGTCTTCGTTCTCCTCAATTAATTCTATTCTCCACCTCCCTTTTCCTTTCCAGGGCCCAGAAGCTTCGCTCTTCAAGAGAGTCCAAGGCTGCCAAACGGAGAGCTGAGCGTGGTCCTCGGGACTTCACCCCTATCGTCAAGTCCCCGCCTATCTTGGCGTGCGACGACGAACATGTCCAAGGCTGCCAAACGGAGAGCTGAGCGTGGTCCTCGGGACTTCACCCCTATCGTCAAGTCCCCGCCTATCTTGGCGTGCGACGACGAACAAGGGCGGATCGACGGCAACGACCAGCCCTTCATGCTCGACGACATCCTCCACCCGTCAAGAGTGCACAAGTGCATCCACGACTTTTGCACCTTCATGGTTAACTCCATTGAGAGGTATGCTATCTCCTTAGACATGATCACCTCCTCCGCGCCCCGCACCAGTTTCTCGATTTCACACTTTCTTCCCGTAGTCAACTTTCTTCCATTCTCGATTTTACACTTTCTTCCCGTAACCATCCATTCGTTTTCCGTATAAACGTGTCCACAGCACTTCATGTGCTGTTTGTGATGTCTTGCACAGGGAGATCGACATCAACCTCATCGCAGCAACAGACCTGCGGCATGCAGATCTACTCAAGGCCAGTGACAAGATGCTCGGCTGCGCTGGTGTACGGGACCGCTTTTTCGGCTACCCGGGCGGCGATGATTCGAAGTGTCTTGATGGACTTGTGCTTGAGAGGCTCGGCTTCGAGGCAGATCCGCCTCATCGGCTGAGGGTCTGTGCGGAGTGCTTTCGTGACCTCTCCAGGAACAGAATGCCGGAGGCCGCTCTAGCTAACGGTTTATGGCTCGGTGAATTCCCAGAACACCTACGGTCGGCTTCATTCGTCGAGTTGATCGCCGCAAGCCCCGTGCGCGTGAGCGGTATCGTACTGGCACTCGATGAGCTTAAGGTCGGGAACATCGCCGGGTCAGCAAAGAGTTTAATGCGTAGCACTTTCACCTTCTACATGCAAGACGCATACGGTGTGCAGCTCAAGCTCCCTGCATGTGACGCCGACATCGCCGGCTCCATCACCATCGTTCTAGTTGGGGCGAACGCGACGCCTGCCCAGCTACGCCGTCTGCTCGGGGCGCGGCGGAGCATGATCGAGGACCTTAATACTTTCCTGCTGGACAAAGACAACGCCTTGGTGGGCGAACACACCTTAGCGCGTCAAGCTCAGCAGTCGCCGGAGAACCTCGCCACCTTTAGCGTAAACGGTGACGTCCCCAAAGCCATCCTTGACTCCATCGTTGCTGTTCAAGACAAAACTGGGTCCTACGCCAACGCACGGTCCACCCACGCCCACGAAAACCGTGAGCCAGAAGTTCCCGCGAACACAGACCGTGCAGGTGGTATTCTGCGCGATGACACGTTGCCTACGGCGCCGATGGTGGTCGAAATCAACGCCGTCATGGACACCGGCGAAGATAGGGCCGTCGCGGAGTCGTCCAAACCTGCCCGTCTAAGGGGCCTCGGATCTTCCATGTGTTCCGGAGATCCTTCTCTTGCGCAGCAAGCGGCGGCTGAGGCCGCCGTAAGGGCTGGTCGTCCCTCCCCGCTTGGTACCGACAAAGCCATGGTGCTCACCCACTCCGGGAAACTCGTCTCGTGCTGAGGCCGCCGTAAGGGCTGGTCGTCCCTCCCCGCTTGGTACCGACAAAGCCATGGTGCTCACCCACTCCGGGAAACTCGTCTCGGACTTCAGCGAACCCGGACTCTTCATTGCCGCCTTCTACGACCTCTTCCCGCATGGGGTTGGCGGCCCCTTGGACAAGAGGCGCCGCTCTCTGACCTTCAAGAGATGGGCGCGGATCCTACTCAAGCGACGTGATCCGCGCTTCCGGAAGCACCGCACTTTCTTGTTCTGCGTGTGCGCCCTCATCTTTCGACGGGAGGCCATCGAAAACGCACGGTTTAAGCTAAGGGGGAACATTTCCACGCGTATCGCATCATTGCTTGCCAAGGTCACACCGGCGGATCTCTCTCAGGCGGCGGCTGAGATGGAGGGGAGTTTCGACTTTTCATCCTTGAATGAGGGCATCCGATCGCTCATCAGGATGATGGAGTCCGTCAGTTCTGGCGCTTCGTGGACGATTCACAACAAACGATGCACGCGGATGATAGCCATCTCCTACATGATTCAGATGGGCCAGCCTCTCATTTGGTTAACCATCAGTCCGGCCGATCACAACAGCCCCATCGTCATGAAGTTAGCCGGCGTCGACATCGACGTCACAAGCAAGCTCAAGTCAGACTTTCCGGACTACACCGAGAAGCTCCGGTTGGTTGCCAGTGACCCCGTCGCATCCGCACAGTTCTACCACAACACCATCCAGGGAGTGTTGACCTGCCTCCTTCGGTTCGGAGCGTCAGACGGCGATGGAGGTGAGCACCTTTTTGCAGCTGCTGTTGCTTCTCGTTTTTGTTCTGTTTTACTGCCTCTGCTCAACTCTGCAGAAATTTATTTTCTCCATCCGTACCAATGTTTGCTCCACACCAACACACAACCGTAACAGGTGTACTAGGGCGCGTGAAGGGGTATGTAGGCATGACGGAGGAACAGAAGAGGTTGATGCTGCACGCCCACCTCTTGGTTTGGATCTACGGGTACAACGACTTCGTCAGTTTCCGCGCGCTGATGGACAAAACCCCACGTCGGTACACTGAGCTAGCCCGGTACTTGGACAACATCGTCTTCAACCAGATAGCTACCCTTGCCGACATCAACCGCGTCATGCGCGGCGTGGACCCTGCGCACCTACCCCCAGAGGTCGGGAACCACGACAGCGCTCAGCCTGCCTTGGACCCTCTCCTACGGGATGCGAAAGAATGCATGCCTGTACCACCAGCCCGTTCGACCTTCCCTCCGCAGGGCGAACCGCCGGATGAGGACCTCAGGGACGCTTACGCGCGTCTCATGTATCTGGACCTCGCCTGCGTGACTCCGGGAGCTAACCTGCACAAGTGCCAGGCGACTTGTCACAAATATAACCACAAGGATTCTACGCGCGTCTCATGTATCTGGACCTCGCCTGCGTGACTCCGGGAGCTAACCTGCACAAGTGCCAGGCGACTTGTCACAAATATAACCACAAGGATTCGTGCCGGTAAGCCACTACCCCGTAGTACAGAAGATATACTTTCCGCTACGATCCAGCGTTGCTTTTGGACTGCATCGTGTCCCTTACCACTTCGGCTAACCTTTCCTGCCTCAACACCACCACACCTGTCCCTGTGTTTCATGCCATTTCTGTCTTCCGTGCCAGGTTTGGCTTCGGAGATGATGGCCGACCGCTCGCCCAAGAAACTGTCGTGCAGCGTGGCCGTTGCGTTTTCGACACGAGCGGCAACATGACCATTGATGGCGTCGTCTACTCCCACTCCTCTGCCGACGACGCAGCTGCCGCCGCTGCCAACGCTGCCTTCCAAGAAGCTTTCGACAACGCCGTTGCTGACGTTCGGCAAGAGCTTGCACGATCGGACCCTGTGTCCGGGCGTTTCTCGGTGGAACACAAACGTCTGCACACCCACATTAACAGCTTCAACCCCGTCATTGCTTTCGCTGTTCGGAGTAACATGGACATCAAGGTTCTCCTTAAAGGCAGCGATGCGAAGGGGCTGCTGTATTACATCTTGAATTATGCCACCAAGACCGAGCAGACTTTGGACGTTCTACTGCCTCTTCTAATTCCCGTCGTCGAGCGCATTCGAGCGGACAGCGGAGACGCTCCGGAGAAGGAGATGGCCGTCCGCCTGGTACGTTCGTGTTTGTGCAAGCAGTTATCAAGCCTCCCCATCGGCGGACCAGCAGCTGCAAGCAAGGTATTGGGCCTCTCTGATGAGAAGCTTTCCCACAGCCCCGTGCCATGCCCAATGACGCCCCTCCTTACATGGGCTTCCAAGAGGGACAAGCCTGCAGATGCAGACAACAGCCCCGGCGATGACAGCGACAGCAACAGCGGCAGCGACAGTGATGCCGACGACAGCGGCGTAATCATCACGCCCTTCCAAGGCAAGCTCACCGTTGCTCAACGGACCCACCTACTCTACAGGAGCCGGTGCCGGCCGGATGATACCGAACACCCCTTACACCAAAAGTCTTACTTCGCTTGGTGCAGGGAAGTGCGAATCGAGAAGTGCCCCACTCTGCACGGTAGACCGCGTGGGAAGCAGCCTTCCGCTCGTGGCAACGACGACGATGACGTCGACGACGTCGATGACGGACACCCCGGCGACGAATGTCTGGACGACGACCCAGTCAGCCCTTCCGGGAGGACAGCCTCCACCCGAGCGCCACGAAGAGGGAGACCGCGTGCAACCCGCTACGAGCTTGTCGGCGAATACCAAAACAAATGGGAGCAGGTAAGCTTTCTTTCTTCTCCTTTGCGGCTGATGTCTACGGTAATGTGGTTATCGTCCAGTTTCTTGTGTTAGGGTTAGGGTGCGTTGCATCCTTACGTTCGTACGCGGTTGTACCCTCTGTGTACATGTTTGACATTTGCTCGTACACATATCGTGCGAGAGAAGCCCGCCATTTCCAACATCATCAAGGATGTGCCGACATCCGACACTCAACCGGTCGCCCACGGTTTCTCATCTTTCCCTCTCTTCCCGTGCTTGTCATCTGCTCGCCGTCTTACTATACAGATCGTGCGAGACAAGCCCGCCATTGCCAACATCATGAAGGATGTCCCGAGATCCGACACTCAACCTGTCGCCCACGCACGCCTCCTCATCTGCATGTTCGTCCCATTCTTCACGTTGGACGACCTCAAGCGTGCGGACGAAACTTGGCCAGATGCCCTACGGAGAGCAGATGACGACAATCGGTGGGATCCCGGCACGTACCCCTTCCGCCTCAACATTGAAGGAATGCTTGCTCAGAAGTTGGCCGCTGCAGAGGAGACCGCCAAGAGACGCGCCGAACGTCAACTCCTCTCCGAGAAGCCGGACACGCTAGGCGACAACGTCGCTGGAGACGTTCTCCTCGACTCCTACGGTGGTGAAGACGAGCCTGGAGAGAGTGTCATCCCTGCTACCGTTCGAAGAATGCTCACGGACCTCTTCGTCGACGACGCCTTCCGGACTTTCGTTGCAGCCGGCTTCAACGGGGACGGTTCCTCTCCAGATGGTTCATCCCCTCTCCTCAGCGGACGATCAATGGAAGACGCCTGCCGGGATATTTCCTTTGTTTGTGGCGGCACCGATTTGGAGGCGGCAACGGCGTTCATTTCACGCCAGGAGAACGAACTGGAGAACATATCCCCTCTCCTCAGCGGACGATCAATGGAAGACGCCTGCCGGGATATTTCCTTTGTTTGTGGCGGCACCGATTTGGAGGCGGCAACGGCGTTCATTTCACGCCAGGAGAACGAACTGGAGAACAAATCATCGTCCTCTGCATCAGCTTTGGCTGGGTCTGACTCACACACGACCACCGCCGGATCATCTAACAGCATTGGCGTGCCAAAAGAGGACCCTATCGAACCCTATATCATCGAGTTGCGCAAGGCCTCTCAGGACGGGTTATCTCCGGAAGCATGCCGAGCCCGTGACGAGCGTCGGGATCGCACCAACGCAGAAGTCGCTGACACAGACATTGGGGCGGTTGCAGCTTTGCAGCACGTCGCGGCTTTCTCCATCGCCCAGGAGTTCGGTCTCAACAGAAAGCAACGACAGGCCTTCTACATCTTCGCCAACGGCCTGCTCGCACAATGTCGGCCTGATCCCCCGCCGGCCCTCCGTCTTTACATCGGTGGAGGGGCGGGCACGGGCAAAACACACGTTTTGCGCGCCATACGGGCCTTCGTCGACTCGCCCCCAGTTAAGCGCCTTCTTCCGAGAGCTCGTCTACTCTGTGTGGCCTTTCAGGGAAAGCAAGCCGCTGCCGTCGGGGGTACAACCGTGCATTCCGTCTGTCCCAACACCGACGACAGCGACGGCTGCCTCTCCGGTGCTCACGAAGGCCAGTCGACGCTGCCCGCAAGCAAGGCTGCTCACTGGAAGGGGGACGTCGTCCTGGCCATCGAGGAAATTAGCATGATCAGCTGCAACCTTCTCGTGCGTCTGCACAACACTGCGTGTTCCATGTTCCCACTGCACAAGGGACAGCCCTTCGGCAACAGGGTCGTGGTCATGCTCGGAGATTTCAATCAGCTAAGGTCAGTACATCTACTTGCGACAACACATGCTTTTACATTATCCAAATACCGCCCTTTTGCACATTCAGGCAATGTTGAAAGTGATTAAATCCACTTTCCCCGCATGCTTTCCTCTTCTTCCTACGCCCATAGATCTTTGGCACACGCGCTCACGTTTGTCCACTTTTTCCCTTCCTTTTCTCGTTTTCCCCTTCTCTTAGGCCCATCAAAGCCAGGTCTTTAGCACACGGGACTGCCCTCCAAGAACGGCGTCTCGGCATGACCGTCACAGAGCGTTACGGTTCCGACCTTTTCCGCATGGCCAACGCCTGCGTTATGCTCCATGAATCCAACCGCTTCTCGCCATCCTACGCCCCAGTCATGGAGCGTTGTTTGTACTCCAAGTGCACCGAAGACGACGTCAAACTCCTCAACACCTGCGTCATGGGGGCTTCTACCACCCGCAACGCCACTTCTGCTTTCGACGCAATCATCGTCACCTTCAGGAACAAGGTATGGTACTTGACCTACTCCCTTCGGCAGGCTACAGTCACATTCATATCGACATCATCATCTTCTTAACCACAATTTCCTGGTGTGCTTATGCCTCTTGTTCTTGTCTTTCGTCTTCTTCTAGGTCAGCACCATCTTGACGGCACCAATGATGCGTGCTTTGTGCCAAGCTAGGGGAACTCCGCTATTTGTCGCCCGTGCACACGACGTTTACGTCAAGCACCAGCGTCCTGGCTACGCGGAAGAGGTCAGTTCCTCCCGACGGTAATCCCGCCGATGTGGCAAAATCTGCAACACCGCCAAACCCTACTTTCCTTCACATTTTCTTCCCGCAGCAAACAATGCGCCTTCGCCTATCCCCTTCCTTCGCCTTTTCTTCCCGCAGAAACCCGCCACCAATGCGCCTTGGCCCACTGGCCTACGTGAGGAAATCAACTCCCTCGACGACGCCAAGACCAAGGACTTGCCCACCCTCGCCTTCCTTGCGGTCGGTGCCCCCGTCGTCGTCCACAAGAAGCCGCAGTTTGTCCTGCTAGGTGTTTGCAACAACTCCGATGGAATCATCCGCGGCATCGAGCTCGATCCCCGTGAGGACTTCCTCCTCGACCCTACACCTGGGTACTCCGTCGTCAACCTACGGTATGCGCCTCTTCGTGTATTTGTCTACATCAAGACCGCTGACGACGCTGGACTGCACTTGGAAGGTTTGGACCGCGGTGTCGTCGCCATCGCTCCTGTCGAGAAAGAGTTTACCATCGAAGGCATCGGCAAGAGGAAATTCATCTTCAAAAGGCGGCAACTTCCGTTAACGGCGGTGCCCTCAACCTGCTATTTCCTGTCACTTTGGAGGACCTCAACCAGCCACCAGACAGAGACATCCTGGGCATCATCAACTACCTGCACCGGCTAGGCAAGGAAACTCTCAAGCTTTTCCCCCAGGACGCTTCCACCTTTACGCCAGCCTCGGCATCGCTTGATGCTGCCACCGACGAAGGGCCAACCTCGTCAAGGAGGCAACGACGGAGAACCACAGGCCGTCACGGGCCTGGTGCAGCACGGAGAGTAGCGCATCTTATCGCTAACAGCAACAACAACTGCTTCTTCAACTCGGCCTTGGCTTTGGGACTGGCTGCGTGGGACGGTCAGCAACTACCTCCTTCGTCCGCTGGTACTCCTGCAGCAGGATCATTTTTTTCGGCGTTGCAGCTCTTGAGGGACTGCATGTTCAATGGATCCACCTTGCCCGACCACATCGTCGAAAGTTCATTTAATTGTTTCCGGTTTGTCTCGCGATTACCTGGCGCTAGCCTCGCCTTGCCCCACGCATTTTTTTCTTCATAATAGTCTACAATTCTAACGCCTNAACAACTGCCCCATCGTTAACCACAGCGCGCGCGAGGTCACCCCGGATCAGTCCGCCAGGCTACGGGGCGCCACCGTCATCACCATCCCCAACGGAGTTTCGGCCACTTTCCAAGACAACGTGTTCAACTTCTTCCGCACCTCGGCCCCTACCGACTTGGCCATCCCAGGCCAGTCTTTGTACCCCTGCTGTGCCGACAGTGTTCACGAAAACAGGTGCGACTGGACTCTACTTCCATGGACGCCCGATACCGCGCCGGACAGGATCTTCTTTCGGTCTTCGTGCGTCTTTCGAGATCTCCACGGGCGTCCCATGTCTCTGTCCAGGACCTTCACCATGGGGGCCACCTATTCTCTAGTCGGAGTTTCGTATTTTCTTGCGCTTGGGGGTGGCCCTAACAGGAACCACTTCGTCTCTCAAGTTCGGATTCGTGGCCGGTGGCACCAGTATGACTATTTACAAGGGGGCATAGTCACCTCTTCGGACGCGTACGACAGTGGATGGCACGTTTCTTCTGTTCACATGCTGGTGTATCGGAGATCTTCCATCTGCGTAGCCACGCCTCCGCCTTACGCGCCATCTTCTGCTACCACTAGAAGTAACGTTGGAAGGAACGCCTGCCGAGTACAAAGTGAGCCCACCAGCCCTTCAGGCCGCATGGGGTAGCACAGGAGTAGCTGCCGCCTAGTTGTATATAGCGGGTTCATGAGCGCCTCAACGCCGCTCTCCTTTTTTTTGCGTTTGAGGCTTTTTTTGCGTTCGGTTTCGCCGGGTCTTCCGTGCCTTTGCTTTGTCTCTTTCTCCTACGCGCGTGCGGTTGGCCTTGCTGGCGCGACTTTGGTCGGGTGTCGGCGAGAGAAGGGTTAACCTTGTTGACCAGGTCCGCTGGTCCTTTGCGGGAAGCGACTGTGAGTTAGTTTCTACCGGTTGTACGGGGTCCTCGGGGCGCATTTTTTTTCGAGGTTTTGTTCCTTTTCTGCTGTCGGACCCGTTGGCTGGCTTCCTCTGCTGCGGCGCGCCCTTTCTGTTCTGGTTTTCGCTGCAAGGTGTGTGCATGGAGTTGCGTGTGTGCTTGGCGTGTGGCCGAGGGGTCGGGGACGAAGTCTCGTTCTCCTCCCTTTGGCGACGAAGCTATCTTTCGTGGGTATTGTGCGTTTTTGTTTTGCGTGTTTTCGCGTGCGGGCGATATTGACGCTTGCTTGTGTGCGAGTGTCCTCTACGTCTGTCTTCATGTTTTTTGTGCGGGCTGCGCAATTCACATTTCGATTTCCCACTTTGCAGCGCGTGTGTGCTTGGTGCGTGTTGCGCGTTTGCCTCTTTGGTTGCGGCCGTCTCCTGCTGTTCTTCTGGGTAGCTCATATGGCATGTGCGTGTCTTGGGCCTGGTTGGCGCGGCTACGTATTGACAATTAGACGTTTTTGTCTTTCCGCTCACAGAGCAGCAAGCGGACCACCACAATCTTTGGCTCTTCTCTCTCGAGCTCTCACAGCGAAGCACGATTTTCACTTGGTTTCAGTATGAAAATCTCCCCGGAAACGGCCGAACAAACGCTCTCGTGCGCTCGCAGGGCTGCACCTCTGCTCTTCGGCTGTGTCTCCGCTCTTCGGCTCTTCTTTGGCCCCGACGCTTTTATTTCACGGCACACAAGTGCTACGTACACACATTACCCCACGAGTCTCGCCACTCCCACTCCCATTCATCTTGGGAAACGCTCACACTGGGCGTGGTGGCGTAAGCCGCCGTAACTTGTGACTATATCGCCGGAGTCGATGTTGCTCCGCCGGCCCTCGGGAGTCTCGCCGTTGGTATTTTTTTTTATAACCTGCCATCAAGATACCGATCTCGGGCAAACTGCCGTCCTCCTCCTCGCTCTGGCGCTCTTGCCCTTCCCCCGTCCCCCGCGCTGATTTTGGGCCCACACCGTATCTCCGCAGATTGTTGCAGTGGTAATCTTCTTGTGTGCGAAGACTCCTGCTGGGTTTTTCTTCCCCGCTCGCGCTCACACCCTTACTCTCCGCTCGCACCCGCGAAGCAGCCTGTTCTTCCTCGACTCTCGCGGCACGCACGATGTCTGACTCCCACGACAAGAGCAAGACCGATGCTGAGATGTGGGCGGCCTTCAGCGAAGACGCGGAGCTCTTCTCCGAGGTGGTATCGCTCCAAGATTCGCACGCACGTGGACTGTGCTGCATCCGGTGCGGCCTCATGGACGACTTCCAGCAGCCCGGAGATAAGGGCTGGGGCATGAGGTGGGCATGTGATCGTAGGTTGCTCATGTTCTCTCATTTTGTATGTTGATCGCTGCGCCCGACTCTCCTCTCTTCTTTTTTCCCTCGTCGTTTTCTTTTGCGCTCGCCCTTGGTGCGCGATTGTAGATTGACCGTTCGTTCGTGCTCGATTCTACACTGCCCCTCTGTGTACGCGCTTCTGCGGGTCTTCCTGCTGTTTTTCACTACTTGTAGACTATGCGATTGCCGGCGCTCGTTCCTCGTGCGCGTCTGATTATCGTTCCGTTATTATGTTCGCTCCTGACACGTATGCGCATCTTCTCTTCTTTGCCGCATGCCCTTTATGTCACCGTCATGATAGCTGCAGGGGGTGCTCCGAGAGCTTTTCTGTCTCGGCGCCCGAGGAGGCAAACAATGGCGGGAAAAAGTTCGCGAAGCCCTTCAAGTGCTTCTTCTGCCGTGGGGTGATTGGCTACAGCACCCCGTACCTGCGCATGCCACACCCTCTCGGTGGTGTCAACGCGTGGAACAACCAGCCACGCTTCGTCTACCTTCACACTGATGGCGCCAGCTGCGTCGGCAAGACGGTGCCCACCGACACGAAGGCTCCTTGCGCGGGCCACTGCGGCAAGTCCTCTCCCGACCACAGCCTGTACGACATGATGGGCATCGGCAACGACACCTACTTCTTCTGCGACGACTGCAAGTACAAGCGCCGCGCTGGCGTGCTGGGTGGGGTGCAGGAGTTACTTCTTCTGCGACGACTGCAAGTACAAGCGCCGCGCTGGCGTGCTGGGTGGGGTGCAGGAGTACATGGAGGCCGAGCGCATCAAGAGGGAGAACGGAGGGCGCGACGTCGACACTCCGCGTAAGCCGGCCAAGCGCGCCAGGACCGAGGCCGACGCCTAGGTAGGAAAACGTTGTGTTTTATCTTTGTTACCTCTCTTGTTGCTGTTTATGAAGAGGTAATCTCTGTGTCGCGCTTGTGTACGTCATACGTTGTGCCTCTTGTCGTGTCCCGTACAGTATGCCTCTTGCCTTGTGTTCTCCTGGTGGACGTCGGTGTTGACCTCCTGCCTTCTGCTGCCTCCAATTTTTTCTTTTTCGTCCTTGTCTTCTTCGTCCGGTTCCCGCGCATCTGGATTCATTCTCGCCCATTTAATTCGCATCTCTTTCTTTACCTGTTTCGATCGTGTCCTATTTTTCCCGTTCGCTGCGAACAGGCCGATGTGTCGCTGGCCGTCGGGGGCGCCTGGTGCTTGCCTGCCGTTTTGTGCTCGCAGCGCTGTGTAACGGCAGCGGGCTGTTTGCCGACCGACCACGCTTGTGTGATTGCGACCGTTCATCCGTGTAGCGTTGCTTGCTTTGGGTCGTCGGTTGGTTGACTTCTTGCTTCGGTGCCGTCGGTTGGGTGATTCCTCTTGTGGTTCTCCACACGGCAGAGTAGTCGCTTGACTGCGTGGCGTTTAAGTTATTTATCACTCGTCCGTGTGCATTTTCTGCTTGTTTTTTTGCGATTCCTCTTGTGGTTCTCCTCACGGCAGAGTAGTCGCTTGACTGTGTGGCGTTTAAGTTTTTTATCACTCTTCCGTGTGCATTTTCTGCTTGTTTTTTTGCGACGCGGCGTCTGTTCTTCGGCGGATTCTTTCTGCATCCATGGCGTCGTCGTGGGCTGTGCGAGTCCGAGTTCCTTCTGTGTTGCTTCGTTGAAGTGGCGTGCCCGGTGTGTATAAGGTCGTCGCTGCACCAAGTGCGTCGTGTTTGTCATCCGTCTGGCGACAGCATCTCATCTTGACAAGAGTGGCTCTGGCTGCCCGTTCTCTACATGGACCCTACAGCACAATATAGAACGCACACCGCCGTTTTATTACTTCAATTCAGGACAAAATAACACGGCCCGTCGCAGCACGTTTCCCGTGTGGCGCAACTAATGTGCCGTCGAACGCAGTTCGTTGCGTTGAAATGTTGAACAGATAAATGTAAAATCGTGTTCTCCTTGCACAAAGCTATTCCCGTACACACAACAATAGGGAATGATGCCGTCTACGCATAGTTTCCCGTTCACACAAAAAAGGAACGATGCCGCCTACGCATGGTTTCATGCGTGCTTGCACACGCGGAATTCCTTTGAGCACTCCACGACCTACTTCACCCACCCACCCCCACACACACCCACCCATTTCGACGCTTATTTGGTGTGCAGCACACGGGAAATTTACCTTCGCCGCACTTCGCCGCATATTACCATCTGCACGTGCCAGTTACTTGACTTGTTCCTTCACGAACACACAGGGTTAGGATTACGAGGTTACAATGCCACGGCGGGGCGGCTCCCCCGCCCGACCTCCGCTTGTGCGTAAGAGCATCGAAGATGCCTGCACTCTTCGATCCGACTCCAGCAACGCGACGCGTCCACCGGGAGCACGCACGGGACGGCCATGGACCCTGCAGCCGTGTATGTTGCTTTGTTTCGCGCGACAATCCTTGAAGCCCTCAACCTGCTATTTCCTGTCACTTTGGAGGACCTCAACCAGCCACCAGACAGAGACATACTGGCCATCATCAACTACCTGCACCGGCTAGACAAGGAAACTCTCAAGGTTTTCCTCCAGGACGCTTCCAGGTTTACGCCAGCCTCAGCATCCCTCGATGCTGCCACCGACGAAGGGCCAACCCCGTCAAGAACCCAACGACGGAGAACTACAGGCCGTCACGGGCCTGGTGCAACAAGGAGAGTAGCGCATCTTATCGCTAACAGCAACAACAACTGCTTCTTCAACTCGGCCTTGGCTTTGGGACTGGCTGCGTGGGACGGTCCCTCGCCTTGCCCCCCCCCCGTTTGTCTGCATAATAATCTACAACCCAACGCCTCTTTCTTCCCGCCGTCAATTCTTCGCCAGTCTGCCGCTCGACAGGCCCGTCATGACATCCTCCACGGTACGCCAATCACCGGCGCCGGCTGTGACATGGGTAATGTCGCCGGCGTATTTGAGGCGATCGCGCGTGCTTGCCCACGACAGGGTTCTCCTTTATGGCCGGACAGTGTCTTCGACCAGCAAGCTCGTGTAGCGCGGACACGCAGAGACTTCGGCCTAGATTGGAGGTACGCGAACAACTGCACCATCGGCAACCACAGTGCGCGCGAGGTCACCCCGGATCAGTCCGCCAGGCTACGGGCCGCCACCGTCATCACCATCCCCAACGGAGTTTCAGCCACTTTCCAAGACAACGTGTTCGACTTCTTCCGCTCCTCGGCCCCTACCGACTTGGCCATCCCAGGCCAGTCCTTGTGCCCATACTGTGCGGACAACGTTCACCGAAACATGTGCGATTGGACTCTACTTCCGTGGACATCCAATACCGCGCCGGACAGGATCTTCTTTCGGTCTTCGTGCGTCTTTCGAGGTCTCTGTGGCCGGTGGCACAAGTATGACTGTTTACAAGGGGGCATCGTCACCTCTTCGGACGCGTACGATAGTGGATGGCACGTTTCTTCTGTTCACATGCTGGTGTATCTCAGATCTGCCATCTGCGTAGCCACGCCTCCACCTTACGCGCCATCTTCTGCTGCCACTAGAAGTAACGTTCCAAGAAACGCCTGCCGAGTTGTACAGAGTGAGCCCACCAGCCCCTCAGGCCGCATGGGATAGCACAGGAGTAGCGGTTGCCTACTTGTGTATAGTGGCTTCATCAGCACCTCAACGTGTCTGTCTCTCCGTACTTTTTGCCTTTGAGGCTTTTTTGCGTGCGGTTTCGCCTGGTCTTCCGTACCTCTTTAGCCTATGTTGTCCATATTTTGCGTGCTTTTACTTTGTCTCTTGCGTCCCTTTCTCGCGTGGGTTTTTCCGCAGGCCGGTCCTGTACAAAAAATGTTTATAACATGTGGAAAATAAAGAGGGTTCGCTCTCGACAAACTTCTTGTCACATCCGCCCTACGACGGTGGTATCACTCCGTCTCCTCTCTTTCTTTCGATCGCTCGTACACGCGCCATCCGCGTCGCACCTAAATGAGCAACAGATTCGAGCTTGGGACTAGCAACGCCGACGATACTCGTCGGATTGCTTTAAT